TGAAAAGACAGCCCTCAGAATGGGAGAAAATAATAGCAAACGAAGCAACAAAGGATTAATCTAAAAAATATACAAGCAACTGCTGCAGCTCAATTCCAGAAAAATAAATGACCCAATCAAAAAATGGGCCAAAGAACTAAACAGACATTTCTCCAAAGAAGACATACAGATGGCTAATGAACACATGAAAAGATGCTCAACATCACTCATTATCAGAGAAATGCAAATCAAAACCACAATGAAGTACCATTGCATGCCAGTCAGGATGGCTGTTATCCAAAAGTCTACAAGCAATAAATGCTGGAGAGAGTGTGGAGAAAAGGGAACCCTCTTACACTGTTGGTAGGGATGCTCAGACTTTAGAACAGAGCTTAGTCCTCCTACTCCCTTCCCCCATGTTCAATAATGAAAAAAAACCTATCCTTTGGGAAATGATTTAAAATTTCTCTGCTATCCAGAGCCAACAATCAAAAGATGGCAGTTATAGAGACCTTCTCTCAGCTCAAAAACTTAAAACAGATCTCTTAAAAGACGAAGATGTTACCTGAGATGTCATGAAGGTATTCAAGCTGAGGTTGGAAAACAGCTTGCCAAGGATGTTATGGAAAACATCCAAGCAGGGGAAATTGGTTAGAAACTGGTTTCCTTGCAACCCTGTAACCAGATCAATGAATATTACTGAAGATCTGCTTCAGAAAGGACACTATCCGAGACCTATAGCAGTTGTTGTTGTTCAGTCATTCAGTTGTGTCCAACACTTTGGGACCCCATGGACTGCAGCACACTAGGCTTCCCTGTCCTTCACAATCTTCTGGAGTTTGCACAAACTCATGTTCACTGCCATCCAACCATCTCATCCTCAGTCATCTCTTTCTCCTCCTGCCCTTGACCTTTCCCAGCATCAGGGTCTTTTCCAATGAGCTGGGTCTTCTCATCAGGTGGCCAAAGTATTGGAGCTTCAGCATCAGTCTTTCCAATGAATATTCAGGACTGATTTCCTTTAGGATTGACTGGTTTGATACAAGGGACTCTCAAGAGTCTTCTCCAGCACCACAATTCAAAAGCATTAATTCTTCAGTGCTCAGCCTTCTTTATGGTCCAACTCTCACATCCATACATGACTACTGGGAAAACCATTGCTTTGATTATATGGACCTTTGTCAGCAAACTGATGTCTCTGCTTTTTAATACACTGTCTAGGTCTGTCAAACCTAGACAAACCAGACCTATACAAACCTAGCCAAACCTAGACAGGGTACTAACCTATATCTTCACAAACCTAGACAAACCTAAACCTATAGTACATTAAAAAAAAAAAAAAAGGCACGGGTGAGAGAGACACATAAAGATCTCTGCTGGCAAGACATCCATAATGAATACTAATAAAATACAGTTGAGACTATAATAGATGACCAGTGAACCAGTGAAGTTGCTCAGCCGTGTCTGATTCTTTGCGATCCCATGGACTGTAGCCTATCAGACTCCTCCATCCATGGAATTTTCCAGGCAAGAGTACTGGAGTGGGTTGCCATTTCCTTCTCCAGGGGATCTTCCCAACCCAGGGATCAAAGCCAGGTCTCCTGCACTGCAGGCAGACGCTTGACCGTCTGAGCCTCCAGGGAAGCCCATAAGAGATGACAAAAGCACTATTTACTAATTGGCAAATGAATTCTGTTCATATATGTCTTCTAAGAAGGAGAAATCTTTAAGGTTAAATGGTCAGAAAAGTTTTTTAAGAATAAATGAGATATGAGATACTTAAGGAAAGATGTGTATGAATGTTCTGAATTGGTGGGCAGAAGTAGGAAAGAGGAGGCAGCACAAATAGAAGTGAAAAGCAAGTTAAAGAAAAACCTGTTTGGCCACATTAAAAACTTGCTTTGAAGGAGAAGAGATAAGCTTTCTGAAAGGGCAGATTGTGGCCAGAATCAAACTGTATCAATACTAGGTCTTGAACACCAAGCTAAGTAGCTTCAATTGTATCTTGTATACAGCATCTGTATCAGCTACTTTACTATAGCCATCAGTCAATAGTAAAAAATGGGCATGGCTGTGTTCCAATAAAACTTTATTTATGAATACTGAAATCTGAATTTCATATACTTCCATGTATCACAGATTATTATTATTTTGATATTTTTCAACAATTTGACAATGTAAAAATCATTCTTAACTCATGGGCCAAACAAAACAGGCTACAGGCTGTATTTGGCCCAGTGACTGTAGTTTGCCAAGCCCTGCATGACAGTTAGCTGCCTTCTTCAGCAATCTAAGGTACAGTTTTGTCCTTGAGCTTCTGGGACCAGAATAATATATTATTCATTCAACAACTGCACACACATGAATGCATATACTTTATCAATATATCTAAATCTAGTAAGGGTTAGAGGTTCCCTTTATTTTTTATTTTTTCAGAGGTTCCCTTCTAAAAAAAAAAAAAAAAGATAAAGCTTTCCATATAGTTGGTAATAAGCCATTAGAAGAGAACCAAGACATTTTAAAATTCTGTAATTTACTTTCACATAATAAATACAGTTAGAGAGTTACAAACCATTCTTACAGAGCCTCTAGGTTACATGGAGAGATGTGTAAAATAAGAGGATAATCAAGGGGATGTTGAGTTCTAGTCCTAGCTCTGTCATTTATTTACTTATTATGTGACCCTGAACAAGTCCTTTCCAAACCTCTGGCCCTAATTTCCTCATCCGTAAAAGTGAAGGGGCATAAGTTATAATACCAGATGATCATATCACTATGTGCTCTCTCAGCTTTAACACTATATAATTCTACTTCTACCAGACAGAGGATGACAAAGATCAGACAAAAGTGATAATTAAAGACAGAAAAAGAGAAAGACATTGACCAAATGAGTGACCAGATAGGACAAACAGGTACGGAAAAAACACCCCAAAATACAGCATTACTAAAATCAAGGATTTTTTTTTTTTAGCATCAAATGCAAAAGAAACCTCAAGGAAGAGAAGCAGGCAAGGAGTACAGCCATCAAAAAAGAATGAACCACTTAACTAGTGAAAAAAATGACAGACCTGAGATTTGAGAGTACTGTGCATGCTTCCAGGAATCATGAAAGGAGTGAGGGAAAAAGAAAAGACTGAAGATGAGTCTGGGGAATAGAAAATAAAGGCACGTGATCCAAAAGGAGTAAGAAACAAAAACGTCAGAACTCAGGGTGAGTTTGAAGCCTCAGGTAAAGGAATTAGTCTTAAAGGAGAGGCATTTAATCTTTAAAAAGAAAAAAAATTGATTAGGGTATAGCTGCTTTACAGTGTTGTGTTAATTTCTGCTGTACAAGGAAGTAAATCAGCTGTATGTATACATACATCCCTCCCCTCTTGGATCACCCTCCCGCCCCCCAATTCCCTTCCCACCCATCAGTGAGGCATTTAACCTCTAAAATCCAAAAGGTAAAAGCAGCACTGCAGGTATGTTCCTGTGGAAGTGTATATCTATATCATGTTGTCTATAAACCAAACTATTAGGGAAATAAACCTCATATTGAGCTTTCATAAAGCAAAGTTCCACCAATATTTTCCAATGGTCAAAAAATTAAGAAAGGACTAACTTTGCTTTTCACGGAAATGAAAACCAGCACTGCGTAGCTCTAAAAGAAAATTCATTTTTATATCTATCTCATAGTATCTGTCACTTTCATCCTTGCTTAAGAGTTACTTTTGTCGAAAATTGCTTAGCCCCTACTTGGAGCTCCATGAATACTAGTGTTTAGTGTTGCCTTAGAAGTACCCAAGGCAAGAATTCTGATTAATTCATCTGTTTATTATTTTCTGTGCAGGTGGTGCTTGATGAATAAATACTGACACATAAGAACTGAGTTTTAAAAAACTGTTCTTGCAAAACAATCATCTGATAAAGTTGGGAAAATATTCCTATCACTTATACACAACTCCAGTAATACTTTTGCAGTGTCAGGGCTTGCTCAAGTAGCAACAAACAGCTACAAAACAACCAAAAAAGGCAAAAAAAAAAAAAAAAAAAAAGAATTAAAAAATTCTAAGAACATCACCCAAAACTATCAAGATCCGATATTGCTAATTTCAACCGACACTTGCATCTATTTGAGGTATATGAGAAATAAAAATCCAAAGCATTCGCCTGATGATCAGCCAGTTAAAAATACACATTTGGACACCCTGAAGATATTTATAAAGCCAACAGAGATACTATTAATATATTGAAATTCACTGGCCAGTGCTGGATTCTATCATTAATCTTCTCCTGCTATTCAAGAGAAGCCAAGAAGTCAAGCCTTCTCATATCACTTGCTTTTAAGAAGGTAAGTCACCCAAACTGGCATACACAACCCAACTACAAAAAGTAGTTCAACTCTCCATACGGTAATGCTTCGCTGCCTCTTACCTTTACTTGAAAGTCACATTTACCACTTTTCAACGATCTTCGGTAGGCCCCATTTAGGCAGGCCCATAGTACCACCAAGTAAGAGACAGGAGTTCAAAAAAGTCCTAACAGTTAACTGCCCTCGCACAAAGCTCACGTTGGGCGTAGATTTCACAAGCCCTGAGAGCTATGCCACTGTCAAAACCAGAAGCAGCACCGTCACCCTGTCGTGCACATCGGCCACTGTTGCAGAATGTTTTCTTTGAAATTACCTCTCCACCTTGGCTCAATATGTTAAATACTTAAGCTACCTTCTCCCCGCAGAGCAGGACCAGATTCCTCCCAGTCCGCTCCGTTTTTGTCCAGCACCACAAATCCAAGGGGAGAGGTCTCCGCTCCCCCGACCCCCGAGATCCAGCCCGGTTTCCCAACTGCTCGCCGCACCCACCACGCACCACCCCCACCCCACCCGACTCCCGCCCCGCAGCCCCGCACCACACACCTCCTCCTTCCCCCACGGCCGGGCCAGCCCACGAGCTGGGCCCGCAGCCCGCCCCTCGCCCCCGGCCTGCGCTGCTCGCAGCGGCCGCAGGCCTCGGGCCTAGCCTCCTCCGCCGGCCCCTCACCTCCTTCGGGACCAGTTGGTTCTCCTCGCCGGGCACCATCGCTCAGACTCCGGCCGCTCCTCTCCGCCCTGCCGGAGGAGCGGGAGGGTGGCGGCGCCGCTCTAGCTCAGGAGAAGAAAGGCAGCGGAAGTCATCCTCTCCACCGCCGGCGCTCGGGCTATCGCGGAGGCCTCAACCTGGGCCTCAGACACCAACGCGCAGACACCGACCCAAGGCTCCGCCGCCGTCGCCTTCGTCTTCGGCCCCTCCCCCCGCCCGCTGCAATCAATGGAAAAATGGCGGCGGCCGCTCTCGCGAGAATTCGGGCCGTCGGGCTCCGAGCCCGGCGCCTGGCGCCCAAAGTGCCCAGACAGCTGTCGCTCTCAACTAGTTACCTCAGCTCTCACTCGGCTTCGAGATGTATAAAAGTGGTTGAGCGGTCAAGGAAACGCTTTTCGGAGAGGGGTTCCAGACTGTCCATCTCGGGACTCCCCCTGCCGGCAGGGAAAGGACCAGGCCTCAGGTCCTCCATGCCTCTCAGGGCTCTTCGGACTCTCCGCCCACCGGGGAGAGACGCGACCCTAAAGCCTCACCTCTGGCCCTACTACCAACACTGCTCGCCCTCCCAGTTGGAAGAGCTCCTGAACTCTCTCTCTCTTTACAGACTTCCGGCCTCTGCCTGGAAGAGAAAGCATCACGGACTGTCTCCCGGCCTCCGCCCTCAGACACGGTCCCAGCCAGAAAGGATTGCGTTTTCTTTCCCCTCTCCCCACCCTCCCGAGGGCTCGGCTCGAGGGACCTCAAGTCTGGTCTCCTGCTTGGGGAGGGGACAAGTCCATAGCTCGCGAAAGAGGTATCACTTTCCCTCCAGCCCCCCTCCATCAGAGCGACACTCTGCTGGGCCATTTGGGCTGAGATAGCTTCAGAGAGTAGGGCTTCAGTTTGGACCTAGGATCCTCTTTTGAAAATGTTTTTAAAGTACGTTAATCTCCTGTGGCAGTAAGCATTGTACTGTTTTATAGACAGCAAATTTTGCGATGGTTATTTTTCCAAATCCTGCTCATTCCTCAAACCTCCCCTTATGAAAACCTGGTGGGATGTCCTTCTTGAAGACTTCTGTAGTACAGCGATGTTTTCGCACTCGGAGATAATACGTTCCTAACACCCACAGTATCAACTACCTGTCTAAACTGTGTGTGCTCTCCAAACGTTTTCTTTTATTGCGCTTCCATATTACAGAAAAAGTCTCTGTACTTATGTAAGTTTAGACACGTCCTGTTGTGTATGATGTAAAGCCTTTTTAAAGTGTAAAAAGGATAGAGATGAAATAAACATTTAAAGTAGCTATGTTAATTATATTTTAAAAATCCGTGTTATTTTCATTAAAAATATTTAGTGAAAGCAATATGATTAGGTTTCAGTGATTTTAAAAATCTGTAATACTTTATGAAACAGTTATTAAAATATGTGATTCAACGTTCAGGTTATTTCTGTACTTCATTTTAACTGCTGTCATAAGCTGAAAAAGATAACTCACAAAGATACATAGATCCTAATGGAAGAAACACATCTTTGGCTGCTCTTACTAATGCAAGTATCCATTTTTGTCACTTCCATCCACCAACCATGAAAAGTTTCTGTTTGAAATTCAACTAGTAACTTTCTCTCTTCCCTGATGTCAGTCAGAAGATGTTGCGTTTTTATATATTTTCAAAACTCTTTGGAATGCATTGCTTGGAAGATTTCTTCTAACAGGTTGGAAAATTCTGCCTTCAAGTTTTAGTATACATGTATAAGCTGTTTGTTTGTTTTTTGAATACTGATCTTGTATTTAAATTTTTGATATTTTGTGTATCATAGATTTTTGCATTAATTTTGACTTTTTAAAATACTGCATGTAGATGTTCATCTTGATTGCTGAGTTTGGGGCATCCTCTTAAATTTTGGGCCCGAAGTGCGTGCCTCACTATAGCCCCAGCCTTGGATAGCACACAATATGTCATCTTACATCAAAAAATCACGTAATGGAAATATTCTCAAATCTCTGATTTCAAAATGTCATGCCCACTACTTAATAAGATGGCTTCTGTAGAGCTCATGCTAGAAGCAGATATGTCATCTCTATCATCTTCCCCTTTATGCCTGCTTTATTATCTCCAGCCCATGTTTTCTTTCCAGAAATCTTTTTTAACTATTTTCATTTTTGTGGGGGTTAATTTAATGAAATAACAATATAATTGGTAAATCTACTTAACCCAGCACACCTAAACTGGAGGAAATCACAATATATTAAGACAAAAGAAAATGAAGAAATCTCCAAATTATTCTCCTTGTTGTCTCACACTTTTCACTCAGTAGTGAGATGCCAGTGTCAATCTATGTATTAAATATTTGAAAGACTTAACTTTTGTTTTTAGATAAAAAAGATATATTTTTAAAAGTTTTAATGTTTTCTTTCCACCACCCACCATCTCTGGTTGCACACTCTTATCTTTAAATGCCATTGGCATGAATGTACTAGAGTCTGATATCCTGGTATGTATACAATAAATATTTGTGGATAAGTATATGAATGCAGAATCAATTAATAAATAAATGAACAAATAGGTATGGCTACCTTCCTAGTAAATAAAATTATTGCCATTACATGTATATGTGTTTGTTTATTTTACATATAGATTTTATGTCTCCAGCCTTGACTTCTCCCAGGGGCTCCAAATGCATGCATCCATCTACCTTTTTGATGACTCTAAATGTCTCACATTTAGCTTGACTAAAGTAAAACATTTGATTTCCAAGTCTCCCACCTACCTCCTGCAATATTTACTCTCTCAATTCTCCCCATCTCAATAGCCTACACCATCCTCAGTTCAGTCTATCAAACCAAAATCTTGAGGATCTTCATCTTATATTCAATTAATTACTAAGGGCTGTTGCTTCCCCCTCTGAAATAAAATATATCCCAATCCAACCATTTTTAAAAAACTGACTGCGTGTGTCCTCATTGCAGCGTGTAAGATCTAGTTCCCCAACCAGGGGTTGAATCCAGGACCTCCACTTTGGGAGCATGGAGTCTCAGCCACTGGAACACCAGGGAAGTCTCTGACCACTCCTCTCTGTATCCACTGCTGCCCATTTCACTCCAATCGCCATCATTTCTTGCCTGAACCAATGCATTTGTCTCCTAGCTCCTGGTTTCTGCTCTGCCCCCACTCCTTCAAGAGTTTATACTCCATGCAGCACTCCACAGTGGTGATCTTTTAAAAATTTATTAGATGATATCTTTCTCTTCCCATCTCTCTCAGCAAGCATATTCCTTGCTATGGTCATTGGTGAAACCCAAAGTTATCTAGCCCTGTCTGCCGTGTTCATCTCATCTACCACTCTTTCTCTTTCACCAATGACCCAGCCACTCTGCCTTTATTGAAGCTTTTAAAATACATTGCTTACCTCTGCTATGAATCCTTTGCCTTGTTATTTCCTTTCTCTAAGATGTTCTTCCCCCAATCTTTGCTCTTATCTAGTTCTACTTTGTTCTTTGGGGTGCTCTCAAAGAGGCCTTTAATGACCACTCTTCTTCAGGGCCTGGCACATAATAGGTGCTTCATAAATTTTTGTTGAATTAATAACATTTTTTACACGAGATTCATGTTTTTAAAAACGTACTAAGACTGTTTTCTTTATAACATTTTTTGGATTATTTCTCTTTTTCCATTCACTTGAAAATGTTCATAACATAACCCCAGTCAAAACATGACAAAAACATCAGAAAAATCCAGATAGGAGGACACTACAGGATATCTGGCTAGCATTCTTCAAGACAGTTAAGCTCTAGAAAAACAATTAAAGACTGAGAAACTGTCATAGACCAGAGGAGACTGGGGAGACATCACAACTAAATGCAATGTGGTACCCTGGATAGGTTTCTGGAACCAAAGGTACATTGATGGAAAACCTGGTGAAGTCCAAATAAAATCTGTAGTTTGGTTATTAATGTTCTAATATCAGTTTATTAGTTTTGACAAATATACAATGGTAACATAAGATGTTAACCATGGGAGAATCTGGAAGGGGTATATGTGTACTTTCTGTCCTGTCCAAGCAACTTTTTGGCAATTCTAAAATTATTCCAAGATAAAAAGTGTATTTAAAAATGTTCATGGTAATACTTAAGGTGTTTCTGTCCTCTTTCTGTCCAACTCTTTGCAAGACATTTGTGAGCATTTCTATGTTTTAAATGACTTAAGAAGCCCTAAGTTCAAAATCATATGATTCAATTTAAGAGCTGGTCATAATGTTCCCTATAACTAGAACTATTAGTAATACTGTTAAATGTATTTTGTAAATGTGAATGGAAGCTTTCGCCTTGATTCCGTTTTAATGGGGTAAAAAGATCTTTAGTCAGTGTGATGTGACTTTGGAGCCACACTGATCTGTTTTGAGATTCAAGCTCTGTCACTTTCTCCATATAAGACCTCCCTGAACCTCTCTGTTCTCAATTAGAAAATGAGAGAATAAAGAAGACTCTTGGCATTTACTATTTTAACATTTGCAGTTTTGACCAGAAAAGTTCATGCCATGTAGCACTCTATAATTGAGCAAAAGAGGAAATTTGGATTTTATACATTAGCCAAGGAGAGGAAACAGTATAGCTGTATGATTGAAAGAATGAAGTTGAGAATTGTTTACCTAAATTTGAATCCTACTTCTGTTAATATTAACTGATGGCTTTCCTTGGTGAAATCTCTTAAATTCATAAGCATCAGCTTTCTTATCTGTAAAATAAAGATGATAATAGCCCCACTTTGGGAATTCCCCAGCACTCCAGTGATTAGGACGTGACCCTTTTCCTGCCATAGTCCAGGTTCAATCCCTGGTAGGGAAACTAAGATCCTGCAAGCTACATGGTGTAGGGAGAAAAAAAAAAGACTCAGAAAAGAAATTCAACGTTTAGCAATGAAATTGAAGAAACTAATAAAGTGATGGATCTTAGCCATGAACTAGGTTCTCTGGCTAAGTTAGAGAGTGAAACATAAAACTAGTCAGTTCGGTTCAGTTCA